TGCAAGGTCATCAATCCATTTTTCTGGACTACCAGGCGCGGGTTGATCTACTGGAGCGTCTGACCACAAATACTCTGGAATTCCAGTCAGCAAAACCGCATCTTCACCAACCCAGTCTTCATCCTCTTCAGCTGATTGTTCAAGATTCAAATCTGTCTCATAATCATCCATAGTGAAGTACTCTTTGTAGGCAATCTTGACAGCACACAATCTCTGCTCGTATTCAGCTTGTAACCTGGCAATGCGCTGTCTCTTTGCTTCATCCAAACGTTGCCTCTTTGAAGAGTCCTCATCTAAGGGTTCTGCTGCTCGAGATGTTGCTGGCTCTCGAGGGCTTTCAATCTCTATATAGTCCCTGGGCGGTGTCACCGGCACTGCAAGACCTGGATCCCCTGACATATCATCTCCAGTATTGGTCAAAGGTGGATTCTCTGCTGTCACATGGATTGGTCCACTAGGTAATGCAGGACCATCATCATCCACAACCTGCATACCTTCCAGTTCACCTGCAACTCCACCAAGTTTCTCTCGCAAAGCCAAACTGAGTGGGTCATTGGCTGACATGTGCAACTGCTCCTCCTGCGCTTTCTGTTCATCAATTGCATATTGAATCACTGCTTCAGCATCTTTGTCATGCAATGCACTTTCTTCAATTGGTCCCAGAGGCACCTCAAACGCAACTGACTTGGGCACTGGTTTTCTCATAGTTGGCAAGATTCTTGCTCCAAACCCAGCTTTGTACTGCCATGAAAAACACCGACAATGCAAATAATACGCCATGTGACTTCTCCATTCAGTGTTGATTCTTCGCACGCTTCTCGTAAGGAGAATTGATTGTCCATCAAATGCCACATAGCTGTTTTGAATGTCAGCTTTCCCAAGAAATAACATCCTCTTCCATTTGGCAGTCGCTTTTGTGGTTGGAATCACGTAGCCAAAAATTGGCTCCCCAAACTCGCACAACTCACCAGCATATGTACGACCAAAAGCCAGTTCATAAGGTGTGGCACCTCTGATAACTGAAAACCTTGAAATAAGCCATGCTGAATGTCTCAGGGCCCAACTCCAAATTGCGCTCGATGTCTCCAGCTGAATTCCAAGTCTTCCATGAACATGGTGCATCAACGTACATGCCAAAGCTCTGACTCTGCCAACAGCATTCTCTGCAAGGCTGTTGCCACCTTTGTCATATGCCACAGAGCTACTTTCACGTGTCTTAAGGTCCATACCTTGACGTGTCTTTAGCACCAATCGCTTCAATTGCAGTATTGAAGGTTCATTGTCGCAATGCAAAATCACTTCTGAATGCCCTAACATTTGCACAAACTTGATGATCTCCTTGTTTGCATGATCCAGCTGAGATTTCCCTTCCAAAGGGATGCATGACACAAATCCTGTATGGCTGTCCACCACTACCAGTGCAGTTATTGTATCGGGATTGCCTGAATCACCAGCCTGACCATCAGATTTTGTGAAGAAGTAGTCAAAGGATATGGTGTGCACTGCTCCTGCATGCGACTCACCTGAACGTTCATGGCGATCAGAACGTGCCCTGTGCGCAAGACATGAAGGGCACCACTGCTTGTATGGCACATGTGTCAACCTATGTTGTGACTGCTCATACTCACTAGGCACTTCTGCAGAAACTGGTAAAAGTGGATGTCGTTCCTGCTGTTCAAATGCCTCTTTTGCTGCCGCCATCACTGATTCCAACTCAAGTTTCTTTGAATGTTCAATCAAACGTTTGAAACACTTCTGCTTTGACCCTGAGCTTGAAATCCCATAGAATGAGCACCCAGCTCGTAGAGTGGCTAGCGAACTGCATTCCCTGAGAACAGTTCCATTTACGCAAACTTCATCCTCTGCAATCGGCTGCACCACAATTTGACCTTCAGGAACATCTCTCCCTTCAATGGGAGGCTCAGCATCCATCACTTCAATGTCATGGTCTGCATCTGCTTCAACAGGAAAAACTTCATCTGGCTCATCAACCAATGAAAATCCCATTGCACGTGGATCCTTCTCTGATTCTGTGATGATCGTGATAATGTTTCTACGTCCAACCATGTCATGAAACTGAGCATCCAACTGCACAAGTCCCTCAAGCATTTCACAGAGTTCCATCACATACCACCTTTTGTTGTTTCCTTCAACCAACGTTGTCCTGTAAAAACGTCCATTCAAATCTGGTCTTACAAGCAATGGATCTTGATGGTGATCTGCATAGTGACGCCCAATGCCACAACCGTTTGAATCCAACTGCCAGCCTACTGAGCCATTGACGATGCTCTCATCAATTTCTGCCTGGATAGCCCTGACATGAAAACTGCCTGGAGAAATGCAATGTTCAGTCAAGACTCTGATGCTGCCATGCACAACCATTGATTTGTTCTGCAACTCTAAGGGAACTGCCGCGCCTGCTATGCTGTGAACAAGCATTTGTTGGCCGCCATCAATGCCCCAACCGTTTTCAAGCATCTTTCCAAAACTCAATATTGGTTGAGACACCCTGTCTGAAATCGCAACCGTTTCACGCAGCAAAATGACACGTCCAGTCATGTCCCTCAAAGCTATCTCCATGTCCTTTGTGGCTTCAATTGGAATTTCAACTCCCTGTGCATCAACCAGGCGTCCAACTGAGGCTACAGCAGGTGCTCCTTTCTCCAACAGGCTAGATGGAAAAATTGAGGCGTCTGCCCCGCTGTCCAACAAGATATCATGCAGCTCTTCCAAACGCTCACTGGCCATGCTGTCATGTGAAATCGTACGCACAGCACCACTGAAAAAACTTTCATCACAAGCGTCCTTCAAAGAGTCACCAATGTAATGTTAAATTGCATGAACACTTCCATGAAAACTGGCAGGGCTTGAATCACGCATGTCAAACACCAATCCATTGTCACTTGAACCAGTTGGCAACTCACAAATCCTAGCAACTTTGTGCTGAGTCGACGACGATGGAGGCACTGGATGCTGTTGTTGAGAAACACTGGACATCCCACCAAGTGAAGAAGATGGTGATCCCTGAACTGCCGTGGAACCTGCAGCTGCTTCTGAACCAACCTGTCTCACCTGACCAGAATGCCAGCAGTCTTTAGCCATTTGACCAGTGCGTCCACATACGTAACATGCTCTTGAGTCTCCTTTTCCTTTGCCCTTGGATCGATCGTTTTGCAAACTGACGTTTCCCTTTGAACCCTTCTGATTCTGATCTGAAGGCTTTCCTTTTCCTTTTCCATCTTTGTTCTTTCCTTTTCCTTTTGACTTTCCCTTTGAATTGTCTTTTGATTTTCCCTTTGAACCTTTTGATTTGCCCTTGGACTGCACACGGTCTATTTCCATTGGAACTGGACCTTCAGCAGCACTCATTGCACTGTCTGTACCCAGCACCATCTGCTCAGACCATTTTGTAGTGCTCGAATCGTAGAGCAACACCATCTCACGTACCTTTGCATATGTGGTTGATTCATTGACCTGAAGTTGTAGCCATACCTTCAGCTGTCCAGTCAATGACCTCATCAAAATGGCCGTCTTGAGATCTTCATTGAGTTTTGTCCCAAGCTTCTCGTACTCTGCAAAGGCATGCTCCAAGCGCAACAACTGCTGCATCAAAGAAAGCTTACCTGTAAACGCAGGCCAATTCATGATGACATTCAAAAGCCCCATGTTTATTTCTATTGCACAAAGCGCGCGCAGCGCGCATTAGTGTTTAGGGCTTAGGGTTTGAAGGTTTTAGGGTTTATCTCTGGCACGCAGCGCGCACAGCACGCATTAGGGTTTAGGGTTCGGAAGTTTTAGAGTTTATTTTATTGCATGCAGCGCGCACACCGCGGGTTAAACTTTAGGGTTTGGAAGTTGCATAACACGATGGTTTAGGGTTTGGAAATTTTAGAGTTTACTTCTCTGGGACACAGCGCGCGCACCGCGCATTAGGGTTTAGGGTTTGGAAGTTTTAGGGTTTACTTTATTGCATGCAGCGCGCGCAGCGCGCATAGAGTTTAGGGTTTGGAAGTTTTAGGGTTTCAAGGGTTCCAAGGTTCCAGGGTACCAGGGTCCCACGGTTTCAGGGCTCCAAGGTTTCCAGGGTTCCAAGGGTTCCAAGGGTTCCAAGGGTTCCAGGGTTCAGGGTTCCAGGATCCCAGCAGGGTGCCAGGTGTGCAGGGTTGCAGGGTTCCAAGGTTCCAGGGTTCCAAGGTAGCAGGGTTCCAGAATCCTTGAGGGTTCCTGTGTGCCAAGGTTCCAAGGTTTCAGGGTTCCAGGGTTCCAGGGTTCCAAGGTTCCAGGGTTTCAGGGTTCCAGGGTTCCGGGGTTCCAGGGTTCCAGGGTTCCAGGGTTCCAAGGTTTCAGGGTTCCAGGGTTCCAGGGTACCAGGGTCCCACAGTTTCAGGGTTCCAAGGTTTCCAGGGTTCCAAGGGTTCCAACGGTTCCAAGGGTTCCAGAGTTTCAGGGTTCCAGGATCTTAGCAGGGTGCCAGGTGTGCAGGGTTGCAGGGTTCCAAGGTTCCAGGGTTCCAAGGTAGCAGGGTTCCAGAATCCTTGAGGGTTCCAGGGTGCCAAGGTTCCAAGGTTTCAGGGTTCCACGGTCGCAGGGTTCCAAGGTTCCAGGGTTTCAGGGTTCCAGGGTTCCGGGGTTCCAGGGTTCCGGGGTTCCAAGGTTTCAGGGTTCCAGGGTTCCAGGTTCCAGGGTTCCGGGGTTCCAAGGTTTCAGGGTTCCAGGGTTCCAGGGTTCCAGGGTTCCAGGGTTCCAGGGTTCCAGGGTTCCAGGGTTCCAGGGTTCCATTCCGGATTTTGAAGGCTGCAAGTCCCCGCGAGCCAGCCCCAGCCCTAGAGATTGAAACCCAACAGGCCCTGCTGTTGGGAATTTAGGTATTGTAACGTAGCTTTCACATGCTTTCACGGCTTTCACAAAATCTGCGAACGTGCCACAAACCTTTCACTTGATGCGCCCCCAAAATGTTGAAATCTGAACGCCAACGATCCACCCGTGAAAATGAGCTGCAGGAGCTCTCTCCTCGAAAGTCTCATCAGGTCTGGGGGCTGCTGACCCTGAACTCTGGTGGCATTGACGAGAAGTCCCTAGCTATGCTGGATGGATCAAACCAACGCGCAGCTAGGCATTGTGAACCTCTTCCTGAAGATGGTCATTGAGTCATTGAGTCATTCAGTTCTCTTCCGCAATTTGTAAGAACTGATTCACAACACATCCCCATGTAAGAAAATCATAGAAAATCACCTGAATCCGCACACCTTCTTGTATTTTCTGGTGCCATTCAGATGCAACAATGTTCGAACTCAAGAATTTGTGAAGAAAGTATCGCATACTTCAGCCTCCATGCTGACTGCTGCTCAGGTAGATCTGTGTTACCACTGGATCCAGCAGGCTTGGATTTTATCAAGCATACTGCAGCATACTGGACAACCTGTATGAAGATGTATGAAATTGATTGAAGCCTTTTTGAGCCCCACTGATCTCAAACATCCGTTGTGGATTTTTCATGATTTGCTGCGGAGTTCCGCTGGGCAGTCACCCAGGTGATCGTTGATGCGCAGAACGATAGCATTTTTGGCGTGCCTCCTCCCATGGTCTCCCGCACCCTGGCAGAGCTATCCTCGGGAATGGGCAAATTTGGTGATGCCAAGAAGAGCCTCGGCAATGTGAATTGGATGGAATTGCGGATGGAGACGGAGCTGATTGGACATCTTTCAGTGTAGAATTCTTGGATTATGACTATGATCTATCAGATAGATATATCTAACTATGTATATATCTCTACGTATATATATATATACATACATACACGGTATATATATATATACATATATATATACATATATATATATACATATATATATATATATATACCGTGTATGTCTACATATGTATATCGATGTATGATATTATTATGCTTTTCAGGTAGCCTCAGGGAGATCAATGAGGGATGATTTGGATTTCTGGTGCACCGGGATCAGCGGGGGATCACGTCTGGACTCAAGGCATGCCACGACACAGTTCAACTTCCCCTACGCGCAGACCTGCAAATGGCTCTTGATCCTCTATTCAGCGTCTTGCTTTAGTAAAAAGCTAACTCCTCGTCTGCTCGTCTTGTTTGGGGCGCTCATTATGTTGATTCATGTTGATTCAATTTATTCTCAAGTGATCAGGTGTTTAAGTAAAGTAATTGGTGCAATTTCTTTGACTTTCCACACCTGAGCGTGCAAGACTTCATGACTTTTGACGGTAGCAAAGCAGCACTGCGGCCGGTGCTCCTACAGGGTCATATCTCATGATCTCATGTGTGGGATTTTTGGGTCATGACACTTTCCTCAAGAGTGCAGTGAAATGGTACGATTCTCTTACTGCCCTTTTTCGACTAGGTTGTGGCCATTACATCCATTCACTGTAAATCAAACATCAAAAACCATTGGAAACGGGTGTTCAATTTGGGTAATTACTACAGGTGACAAAATGAATTGGGATTAGATACGATACAGTCAAAGCGATCAAAGTGACAGTGCCTTTCAGATCCTGGCAGCAAAGGATAGAGCCAGATTTCTCGATGCTTTTATGAGCTTTAATATTTCAATGCAAGCAGGTCATTCAATTCCAGTTCCTTTCAGTTCCTTTCTGCCTATTTCAAGCCAGTTGATTCCACCACTGAAGTACTGTCAGCTAGAGCAAACATTGCGGCTTTGATGGGTCCCGATCTGAGATACTGATGCCGTTCATGATGGTTCGTTGGTCCGCTGCACGGCAGACATTGGTGCGGGTGCTTCCAGGCTCCAGGTACGCGTTCCTTGTGGGATGTCGGAGTCAATTAGGAAAGTCACTGGGGAGATTGTGCCTTTGTGATCTTTGTGCCTTTAGGATCCTTCAGCGTGGTACCAACCGTAGCACATACTTGGGACTTGTGACTTTAAAAGTCCTACTGAACATGGATCAGATGTCGTGACATGTCGTGAACACCTTTGCCAAAAGGCTCGGTGTTCACCCACACTGGAATCCAAGAGTCCACCATGTCTTGATGGCCTCCTGCCCTCCTTGAGATCCCACCACGGGCATCAAAGGATTGGGCCTCCGGTGCCTTTATCTTCACCTTTGTTCAGCTGTTCTTCATCTGGACATTGGAGGCGCCCTGCGGCGTCCAGTGCTGTGCGCTCGGTTGGGGGATACTGGGGCCTTCGAAAACAGCTGAAACGATCAGTTCAAGTGGCGATTCCAAAGTAGAGGTTGAGAAGCGTTTAGGATGATTTTGGATTATTTGGGAGTGGTTGGACAATCTTACTCGCTAACTGATCCTAGATGTGCCTGATACATCCTGATGAATTGGCCTGGAAACTCCCGCGGTGGATGGCGCCTGGAAACTTCCCACCTCAGCACAAGGCCATCACCATCATCTTGGAGAACCCGTTTGACACTTCAGATCCAAACTGCATCGACGTCTTCCAACTCCAGCTGAGTTTCTCCACTGCAGTGTCTTACTTCCGCGCCACATGCGCATGATGTTGAGATTTGGAGTGCATAGCTTCAGATTCTCGTGAATTGAGGGACAACTACCGTAGATGTCTACTGTAGGGATTTTCAATCGGTCAGTGGAAGGCCGGCCTGCTCATACCGCAGCAAACAAAGGCTACGTGTTCTGGAACTGGAATGGATGGTTTTTTGATGTTTATTGATGTTTTTTCCCCACAACTTTGTGTGGGGTTCTTGTTTTTGTTTCTGTATCCCGCGCCTCCTCCGCCGCCTCCCGCTTCGCCGCCTCCAACCATCTTTCACACACCACACACACACACTGCTTAGGTTGATTTGATGATGATGAGAGTAGAACTTGCCGTCGCCTGATTTCCTAAGTCACCTTCGATGGGGCACGGTTGCAAACGGTGAAATTCGGGCAATCGATTCTTGCCAAAGGACTCAAAAACAAGGTAATAGAACAGCTTGTGCAAAAGTTCGAACCAACATTGCAGGTACGTCAACCCAGCGTCCCAGGTTGATATCACTGTGACATCAGAAGCGTCTTCGTTGGCTGGAGACTTCTGATTCACACTCCAGCCCCCTGCATGTCTGAATCAAAATTCAGTTCTTATTGTCGCCACATATTGTCTTCCTTGCTTCGTTGTACGAAATTGTAAAATATCCGTATGTTATAGCGGGTTTCACACACACACAAGCCCCGTAGGGCGATGACGAAATTACATGAGTAGTTGAAATGGCAAGCTCACACTGTCGTTCAAGTGACAGAATGGCAGTCCTGAAACTTCACAAAACACTAATGGAGGAGCGAAAACTCTGTGTGAAATGCGGTACTTCATGAGACTAAGCCGCCAACCATTGTTTGTGGTGAATTCAGTTCAGTGAGCGAAAGCATGTGAGGTCCGGGCTGATAACTCTCGTCAGGTTGTTATGTCGAATACTCTTATAAAGAAATTAATTAGTTAAAATGACAGACGCACATTGTCACTCAAATAACAGAATCGCTGTCCTGAAATGTTACGAGACACTAACAGAGGAGTGAACACGCTGTCTGGATTTCGGTATTTCATAAGACTAGGCCGCCGACCATTGATCGTGGTGGATTCAATTCAGTGAACGAAAGCGTCCGAGGTCCGGGCTGATAACTCTGGTCAGGTGATTATGTCGAATATTTTGTCGAAAAATCTTCTGTGTCAAAAATCTTGAGGCATTTAGAACTCTGAAACCTAAAGCATGATTGGGGGTAACTGAGGTCCCGACACCACTCAGAGCACTATACAATCGACGTCTAACATGGAGAAATTGTGACAGCTGTTGTGGACAAGGGCAAAAGAGATCAATTCATGTTAGTAGAACCAGTGTAGAGTAGAGGTAAATCCGATGGTCTGTAAATGGCGACAGACTTGAACCCAACATTGAAAGGTTTGAACTGATGCAGCCATGAATAAGTTACTACACACAAATCACATTCTCATGCGTATCTCTATTTGGCAAAAAACAACAGAGTGCGACAAGTTAAGAATGATTGAGTAAGCTGTTCACTCCTTTTTGTTAAGCGAATCTGAAAACATCACGCGCTTGTAAATGTGGATGGACTTGGTGGATAACAGTCATTATGGTCTTGCGTGCGGAATCTGTGGTCACAAGAGCAGAGTCTCGAGATGATATCAGTCCAATGAGATCTTGAATTTGAGGTAGATGAAGATGTTGTGGATACACGCCCGTGAGAATGAGTCGAATACGAGCAATAAGACCACTGAGGGCGGTACGTGAGACACCACAGCCAGAGCTGTGTCTCAAGGGTTTGTTCCATGGTAACTGCAAAGTAATGGTATGTTGTAGGCAATCAATTTTGTATCCCAGGGCTTCATCACCAGGTACTGGTTCCAAAAGGATGGGATTTGTATAGAAATCCAGTCTCCAAAATAGGTCAAAGTCCAGACTGGCGCGATCGATGTCTGTTGCTAGAATCAAGCGGTTGTCGACATACCGATGATGAAAATTCATGTTTGTGCGAAAGACCTGAAAATAGGAATGAAAAATCCATTCTCTGAGTAATGCAACTGCTGAACAGAAAATGGGTGCCCATTGGGAACCCATACTTGCACCACGACGCTGTTGGAATACTGTGCCTCCAATACTGAAATAACTATGATTCAAAAGGTATTGGCTGAGCGGTTGTATATGGGCAAGACAAATTGGTCGGTATTTGTGGCTATGTGACCGCCAAAATCCACGAAAAATTCGTAAAGTGCGTTCCGTAGTCTCTTGATGAATGTTGAGAAAAGAGTCAAATGTTTGTCCTTGAAGTTCACAAAACCGACACACAGCAAATTGAACAGCCTGTAACATACGAGAATGATCAACTTGATTGTAAAACCCAGCAATGTCTTCTTGTTCCACAGTGAGTTCACCATAAGCGTAGTCTTGGTGGGAAAACAACTTGGCAATTGCATGTAGCACCGACTTGATATCCGTAACAGATAGGAGATCAGAAGATACAACTTGCAAAATTTCATATAACGCTGTTGCTAGTACACTTCCAATTGGTCGACACCATGCTCGAGAATAATCCACAATTGGTCTTGCTTTTTGAAATAACTTGGATGGTTTTGGGAGAATGTATGCGGTGCTGAGAGTGGATCCAAATTTGAAGCCCCATTTGTAGTGTTGCATAATCCAGTCAGGGATATTTTGTTGAATGTGCTTCAATAACGGAATAGGATACGCTTGGCAGCGAAGAAATACCGAAGTATCCAGGAACGTTCGGTTCATCAAATATTGCCACTGAGCAGGACAGTGTAATGTCAAGGAATGCGGAAAATGATCTGAGGGCGAGACTACAAAAGAACGTAAGCGATGTTGAAGTCGCTGAATCTGTTTCTGGGTCTGTCCGAGAGAATTCTGTTTATAGATCTTCCACTGTGTCAGGATGAAAGCTTGCCAATATTGGATCAGTGAATGTGATAGCTTCCATCGATGCAGCCACTGTTCGAATTGATACGTGTTATGGTGAAAGAAGTGTCTCCATGATGGTGAAATCTCTTCAGCCATATGTTGATGGAGAAATGCTTCATCAGGAAAGCATTCTTGTGCAAAAACAGAAATATGTTCGGTTTTTCGTTCACGTTGTCGAATATGCAAAGGAAAGAGGTGGCATGTACAAAAAGGTTGCTGTTCAGGTGTCCACCATTTCAACACTTTTCGAAAATTGAAAAATGTTTGTCCCAACGTCCGATTCTTGATGCGCACAAATGGTGCCCGTACTTTGTGAAACGGAGGGAAATTGATGGAATGATGAAAAGTGAAATTCAGAAGCCACTGTTTTATCGCATCGTTCATGTCGTCAGATAGAACTTGAAGTCGCATAGGCACATTGGGTGGCGGAGATTCCGTTCCCTTAAATCTGAGGATCAAACGAAGTTGTGATTGACAGCGTGTACGAAAAGGTTCTCCCAATTGATGGGAAAGTCTCCAAAGCAAGAAAAGATATTGTATGTCTGTTTGTGATGAACGCAGTAATTTGGAAACATGAAACTTTTCGATGGTGTCAGAGCCTAAACGAGTGAGTAATGTGTAGATTCGATCCGCAGAATGAAATCTGAGGCCCAAAACGCACCGCTGATTTGTAGCCGTTCGCTTCAAATATCGACGACAAAACTTTCGAGTCTTTTCAAGAAAGGGTTTGGAGACTGAGGGCCCGAACCGCTGCTTCCCAATATGGAACTTCTGTAAGAAAGGCTTGATCCATGGCCAATTGTATTTAGGCCGGTACGTCGTCTGAAATGCCGTTTCCATGGCATACAATTTGTCAAGGTTTTGCTGTTGTAAAGGAAAACAGCCAAACCTGTAGAAATTGTTCAGGTGGAACCAAACTTTTAGGGCAGGCTCGAAATACGCAAGTTGTTGGTTACCAAGTTGACGAAATTTCCGCATACGGCTCTGTTCTCGGTCAAAAACAGAATGTTCTGTGGCTCCAATGTAAAAATCAGCATCCCAGAGATCCAAACGCATGTAAATAACTGATGTTTGTGTCCACCATGTCCATGAGAATTTAAACGGAAGTCGTGCATGTTGAAGGATAGTCATCAGTCGTCGTCGCTTGTTTGTCCATGAATTCAAGCATACTCCAAAAACTGTCCATTGACTAAGAGACCATAACAACATCCGTTGAAGTCGCCAAGTCAGTTGTGGAGTATATTGCAAAAGACATGCAGCAAAAAAGATGAAGGATTGAGCAATCTCCCGAAATTGTGCGATCTTACGTCGTGCCTTTCGGGTGTGTGCTTGGTCAAAAGGTTTTATCAAGCCACCGTTAGTAGGTGGGCTTACTTGATCTGTAGCAAATTCAAATTGTCAGTTTCGCAGCAGCTGAACTGCTGCCAACAATCTGATGTGAGCATCAACATTGCATTTCGACAGAAGGAAGAGGAGAGCCCCAATCGCTTAAAATTGGTTCCAGGTTGGGTTGATTCGCCTGATCGAATTGTTTCAAATGGTTTTGAAGAGTTTCAACACACTTGTTCAATTCTCCCTGACGTTCCTTGGGAACGTTCTTCTTCACCCAATCACGGACTTTTGCCTCAGTTCCTGTTTGAGGTGCCTGGATTGCATAGAAGGCTTGGGCGTCTTTGCGGCGATAGGACATCAAAGGGTCTGCAGGACTGGATGGGCCTCCTGGTGTACTACTGTTGGGGAAAAACGCATTGATTTGGGGTTGGCCTGTTGGGGGCCGCTGCGTCTGTTGGGATGGTGGATTACCACTATCTGGAGCTTGGGATGCTTTCAATGCAGCATTCTCAGCCTTGAGTTTCTCTAGTTCTTCTAGTATGGCTTGCTGTGAATCTTGAGGACAGAGAGTGCGAAAATGATCTAATGTTGACTGGACCAATCCCTTGATACTTGTCAACTTCGTGTCCCATTCTTGCGGATCTTGACCCTGTGGTGTGAAAGCTCCCAACAGTCGATGGAAGTCCAAGGTGTCCTTCTGCTTTGACATTTCTCGAAAAAGTGTAGTGGCAAAAGTAGCTTCCAGTCGATTGCGAAAGAACTCGCATGAAACAAATCTACCGTTGGCCACGAGGCGAAGGCCCCAATTGCTGATTCCACTTTGAACAACATCGATAAGCTTAA